TTGTCAATAAAAAATGAAAGGTATTCTTGTTCAACAAAAAGTTTCTAAAGCTATTGATGACTATTTTCCTACAAACTTGACTACTGAAGAAAAAGAGAATTGGCATATACTTCTATCATTTTGCATTTGTTTGATACCGTATTAAGAAAGGTTGGTAAATTAAAATCAGCTCAAGAACTTTGAGAAAATTGGAGGAGCTTTATGTGTCTCAATCCACTCCAAACAAACCTTTTCTACTTGAAAGCTTTTTTAGCTTCAAAATCGATTCTTCAAAAGATTTGGATGACAATTTGGATGTCTTCAATAAACTCGTGCATGATATCATTAACTGTGGTGAGAAAGTATGTGAAAAATATAAGGCAATCATTTAGTTAAATGCTATCCTTGACACTTATAGAGAAGTTAAAAATACTATTAAATACTGGAGAGATACTTTAACACCTGAAATTATCATATACTCATTAAGAAGTAAAGATATAGAAATGTGAGGCGAGAGAAAAAGTGCTGAGGTTCACATGATGAGAAGTAGATCTCAGTCTAGGACTCATGATAACCAAAGTGGAACAAACAAAAAGAAAAGGTTGACGATGAGGCAAATGTTATTACTTCTTCTTATGAATGCTGTGAAGTTTATGTGTTATTAAACTGTCAACATACTGAAGTAAATCTGATTGTAAAATCACATTTACATGAATGGATACTTGATTCTAGTGCATCATTTCATGTTTCATCACATAAAGCCTGATTTGAAAATTTGCTAGAATCTATAAGTGGTCATGCTATTTTGTGCAATAATCATGCATATAAAATTGCTAGAATTGGTGATATGAGGTCAAAATTTGACACTAGCTATGTGCTTAAATTACATGGAGTCGAATATATTTCTGAAATGGCAAGGAATCTTATTTCGGTAGAAGCATTAAAAATCGATGGTTTTCTGGTTAAATTGGAAACAACATGCTAAAAATAATTAAGGGTGCTATTGTTACATGTAAAAGTACTAAAAGAAAAGGTATTTATGTGACTATTGCTGAAATTATTAAAAATTTATCTTCCTCTATAAATTTGACTAACACAGATGACACACACAAGTGGCACAATAGATTAGCTCACATAAGTATTAAAGGACTTAAACTGCTAAATGATAAAGGTGTATTTGAAAATGACTGTGTCTAATATGCCTTTTGGTTATCACTGTGTCCTTGGTAAATATCATAAGTCATCTTTTTCATTTGGCATGCACAAAACTACTAAAGTTTTGGAATATATTCATACTGATTTATGGGGGCCTGCTACTAATTCTACAATGGGTGGTAATAGATATTTTTGTCCATAATTGATGATATTCTTGTAGGGTATGGGTTAATCTATTAAAAGATAAAAACTGAAACCTTTAGAATTTTCAAAATATAGAAATTGCAAGCTGAAACTCAAACTGGCAAAAAGATAAAATATGTAAGAACTAATAATGGCCTAGAAGTTTGTAATAATGATTTTGATGATATGTGTGAAAAATATGGAATTACTAGACATAAAACTGTTTCTTATACACCTCAACAGAACAGGGTGGCTGAACGTATGAATCATACTTTACTTGACAAATTTAGAGGTATGATGTTGAGTTCTAGTATTTCTAAATCTTTTTGGGGTGAAGCTATTATAACTACGTGTTATCTGATTGATTTGACACTTTCCATTGCATTAAATGGTGATACTTCACATGAAAAATGGTATGGTAAATGTGCTGAATATACTGTGTTAAAAACTTTTGGTTGTGCTGCTTTCTCTCATCAAAATGAGGGAAAACTAGAACCTAGAGCTAGGAATGTGTTTTCTTAGGATACCTTGAAGGAGTTAAATGGTATAGGCTCTGGGATAGAGGTCAAGCTGGAGTTAAGATCATCATAAGTCGTGATGTTACATTTAATGAGTCTGAAATGCCATTTCTAAAATCAGAAAGTGACACCTTCAGAGAAAAATGGCAAGAAAACACTAGTGACGAATCTCAAGTAGACTTAAGGCCTTTAAGTGTTCAAAACCCACCACATCAATTGAGGTGGAGCATTAAAATCCTGAATTAGAAGATAATCAGAGTGAAAATATTAAGACAAATCGAGGAAAGCAAAACCCTTTGTCTAATTACCAGTTAGCTAGAGATAGAATTAGAAGAACATATAAGATGCCTCAAAGGTTAAGAGTCTAATTTTAAACTTACTTATGCTAGTTATAAAGAACTAGTTGATAGGGAACCAAATACGTATGAAGAAGCCTTGAGGAGTAAACAATCTGAGAATTGGATGAAAGAAATGAAAGAAGAAATAAATTTCCTCCATAAAATCAAACATGGGAATTAGTCCCAAGACCTAAAGACCAGTCTACTATTGGGTGTAAATGGGGTTTTAGAATTAAGGAGGGAATTACCAAAATGAGAGGCCAAAGGTTAAATGCAAAAGGAAGGGGAAGATCATAATGAAATCTTTTCTCCAGTTGTTAAGTACACCACAATTAGGACTATGCTTTCATTAGTTGCATATTTTAATTGGGAACTTGAATAACTTGATGTTAAAACTGCTTTTCTGCATGGAGAACTTGATGAAAAGATATTTATGGATCAACCTAAGGATTTTGAAAATAAACAAAAACCTAATCATGTACGTTCTCTTAAACGCTCTCTATATGGTTTAAAATAATCACCTAGACATGGTACAAATGTTTTGATTCGTTTGTTCAAACAGTTGATTTTAAAAGGAGTGAATTTGATCATTTCTTATACTATCATAATAACGCAAATAATAACTATGTGTTTTTGTTGCTATACGTGGACGATATGCTTTTGATTGGTCCCAACTTGAAGTTGTTAAATGATATAAAAACTACTTTGAGTAATGAATTTGATATGAAAGATGTGGGTAATGCTAAAAGAATCTTAGGCATGAAAATTGAAAGAGATAGGTCTAATTCATTTTTATTTTTTGAATCACGCTCCACATATCATGAAAATTTTAAAAAAAAATGGCATGAATGAATGCAAACCTATTACATTACATTTAGCTAATCATTTTGTATTATCTAAAGAACAATCACCTGCTAATTGAGAGGAAGAGGAATATATGTAAAGGATTCCATATACAAATGTCATTGGTTCTGTAATGTATCTAATGGTGTATACTAGACCTGACTTAGCCTTTGCTGTTAGTACACTTAGTAGATATATGTCCAACCCTGGTCCCAAACATTGGGAAGCTTTAAAATGGCTGTTTAGATATTTGAAAAGAACATGCAATACTAGCTTGATATATAAGTTTATTACTGAAGGAGTAAATTTGAAAGGTTTTACTGATGCTAATTATGCTGATGACAGAGATAATAGGAAATCTACATCTTCCTACATGTTTACTGTTTACTTTGTATAATTCATGTGTTAGTTGGAAATCACAACTTCAACGTGTTGTTGCATTATCCACTACTGAATCGGAATATATTGCTGCTACTGATGCCCCTTAAAAAATCTTTGTGGTTTAAAGGTGTATAAATGAACTTGGTGTTTTTAATGACAATGTGATAATATATTCTAATAGTCAATTTGCTATTCACCTATACAAAATCTTATCTTTCATGAACGTACTAGACATATAGATGTTAGACTGCATTTCTTTAGAGATATGGTTTCTCAAGAACTGGTAAAACTTGATAAAGTCCTTTCAGAATAATATAATCCTACAAACATGGGAACTAAGAAGCTCCCATTGGTAAAGTTTAGAAGCTGCCTTGATCTTCTAAACATCGATACAAACTTGTAAGTCTCTTTCCTAAAGCTATTTTTTATCTTATGTGGCTTGCAAGTTGATTTCGCATCAAGATAGAGGTTGTTGGGTATTTTAATGATTCCCAAATAACCCCTAAACGATGATGAAAAATCGAGGCCCATTTGTCTTCATAGACTATAAGCCTGGGATTGAAGAATATTAATAAATTTAACCACAATTGTGGTAACCTAGTCATGTTGGCTATTTAGAAGAAATCAGCCCATTGAGCTAAGTGCTCAATACCCAATTTTGAAGATAATTTGAAAAAGGGATTTCTATCCCTTTTCTCATGGGCGAGTTGGATGGTTGCACTATCCTTATTCTTGATAACCATTTTCGGCTTTCTTGAACTCTATCTTACCGAAAAATTCTGGGAAATTTGTTTGTCCCTTGCCTATAAATTTGAGTCTTTTGGCCTCATTTTAACACACACCAATCGGCCCCTGCTATGTGCATTATGAAACCCAGTTTCTGCCTTTGTGTGCCTATCTCTGTGACTGCAAAAGTCTCCAATTTGGTACTGCCTTTGTGGTGTTGGATTGACTTTTCTGAGCCGAATTAAATAGGGGGAATTCATTGTTCGTCATTCTTCAAATTTAGTTTTTCTTTTTTATTTCCTTGATTGTTTAAGTTAATTCCATAACTCACACCCAAGAACCTCACCAGTTTCGTGTTGTAAGATAAACATTTTGTGTAGTCATATCTTGAAACCACTCCGATAAAATTTCTCTGATTTCGCCGCGTAAGCATTGATGGAGCTTACAATGCTGGTGGATGAAGCCATAAAAATAATCTAAACAAGAAACCTTGACCTGATCTCAGTTTCTATAGAAGAATATAATGCTATTTTAATTATATATTTATATTATGATTAACACATAACCAGAAAATGCTATCATCTTCTAGGCAAACAATGGGATTTGGTGTTTGGATTTTGCATTTTCTTGTTTAGTGGTAGTCCTTGTATTGTTAAGCCGACTTGATTTATAGTCCCTTTGTAGTTGTTTTGATACATTGAACAATACAATTTCTTCTAGTTTAACACATTTTTTCTACTTTTGATTTAAATTATATTTATGAATAATTGAAAATTAAAAAATTTAAAACGCTTATTTCCGCAAATGGACATTCATTTTTCACAAGTAAAATTTTAATCAAGTTTTATGAACAAGATGAAAGCTAATTTATACAGCAAATATAAAAACAGTTCTATATTTCATTATATAAATCGACACTGAAAAATGAAAACAAAAAAATAAATAAATAAGTACTAAAAGCAAAAAATTAGACTTGAAAACATGAATAGCGAAAACACAAAAATTAAATGAAGCAATGAAGATGGTGGGAACAAGGCGGGAAGAATAACAGTTATTGAATATAACCCCCTCCACTCAAAGAAGAGTAGATCTAAAATTCTATCATCTTCCATCCATTGATGACACTGAGAGTCCATTAGCTGAAAACTCCTTTGACTTGCCATTTTCAAGTTCATGAACTACGTTACTTGTGACGAATGCTGGGCATTTTGGCATTGGCAAAAGCTTCGTTTCATTTTTTAACATGGATAGAACATCCTCAATCGTAGGGCGATCAGTTGAACGATTTTCCAAGCATAAAAGACCGACATGAATGCATCTTTTCAATTGATCTATATGGCTGCATGAACTTTTCAGTGTCACATCCACGACCTCTAATGCAGCATCTTTGCTCCATAGTTCCTAGGCCTACAATTGTTTACAAGAATCTAAATACAAAGAAAGATAACAAAGATGAGACAAAAATATGTCATACCAGTAACTTACATATTCCACTAGATTGAGAGGACCTTCTTGATTGTGGAAGCAATTGTTTTTTTTACCCCTCACAATCTCAAGTATTAAAACTCCAAAACTATAGATATCCGATTTGGCAGAGTAAATACCCTGCATTGCGTACTCGGGAGCCATGTAACCACTGTAAAATGAACAATAGACAGCACTTGGAGATAATGTTGATGAGCCTTGAGAATATAAATACACACTATTGGCAGACAATATGAAAACAAAATATTCTTTGTTACTTACTATGTCCCCACGCGCCTATTTGTATTTGCTTCTATCACATTCTTATGGAAGATTTTTGCAAGTCCAAAATTAGAAATTTTGGGGGTCATGTTCTCGTCAAGTAATAATTTACTGGCTTTTAAATCTCTATGAATTATCCTTAATCGTGAATATTTGTGGACGTAGAACAGTCCTTGAGCAATCCCTTCGATGATGTTAAAACGTGTATCCCAATTTAAGAGCTCCTTTGCTGGATCTGTCATGATCATTAAATGTAAATCACAAATTTATAATTATAATTTCAGAATTTTTTAAGTACTCCTCTTGCAAATTATGCCAGTCCGAAGGCCTTCCCAACTTAAATCACATGGATTGTGTTCTACTTGTGATAATGTTCTGCATGTCTTCATATCTCGAAATATACTAATTGGCATCATATTGACTTTTCTTAATTATGGAAACATAAAACCGTTTGTAATATGTACAAAAACTAATGATCATCAGTATCTATGATCTCATTCAAGTGTTGCCTATGTTCTAGGAAGCGTAAAAGAATGAATTGCTTGCAATAGATGCTACTTACGAAAGAGAAAGAAGTCCAAACTTTTGTTGGGCATGTAGTCATAGATTATCATCTTCTCGTCTCCATGGATGCAAAAACCCAATAACTTGACTAGATTCACATGTTGAATTTTAGATATAAGTATTAGCTCGGTTTTAAACTCGAGCAATCCTTGATTTGACCCTCGTGAGAGTATTTTGACTGCTATTTCTCGCCCTTTGACCATTTTTCCCTGTAAGAGCACATAAACATGTACAATGTGTTTATCAATAATAAAGCTTTACATTGAAACAACACTTAAATGCCAAAATGGTGTTGCATAGCAATGATTGCGTTGCCTAAAATTACATTGTTCTAATTTTTCTACATTATTATTCCCTCTAAAGTAATCTATAATCATGGAAGAGATGAAAGAGAGTATACATGCTCTAAACTTTGCCTTGTGCCTTGGCTTGCATATTCTTATTTGCTCACATCCGTAGGAATGAATAAAAAACCACCGAACTTGGCTTTTCGGGAGCTTAGGTGGGGTTTTGAGTACATGTCAAGGCTACTAGCACTTACTATGGCATGATCATTTCAACCTACAGCTCACATCTTAGCAAAATGGAATGCTTGCACCCGTGCAAAGCTTTTAGCTTAGTTTATTTACCCCCACTCTTTACCAATTGCTTCGCTTGGATGGGTACGCCTTTGTGCATCAATGTATCTATTCATCCTATGATGCAATGAGAATAAGCCTCTGTTTGAGCTCCATTCTATAAAAAATAAAATAAAATAAAAACACTCATTTTCTCCAAACATTCTCCTGATAAATTAATCTTACACGTAACTCTACTTTTTAACCACACATTTTTCAAAAAATTACTATTACAAAATCTATTTAAGGTTGTGCAAAAACCAACCCAAATTGCTCAAACCGACCAATCCAACCCAAACGGACCGGTTTGCGGTGGTTTTTAAGTTTAATTGGTTGGGTAGGGTTGAAAAATTAAATTTCAGATTGGGGCTTTGGCTCGGGTTATAGATTAAACCCAATTCAACTCAACACAATCTAATCTGATGAATTAAAAAATTTAATACCTAGAATGGAAAAATTAAAAATCTAAATAGACACAATAGTGTATACAAGAGAAGAATTTAGAATATACAAACATTCCTTTTTTTATATAGGATGTGTTGACATATGGTCAAATTCATCCTCAAGATTTTGATCATAACAAATAAGATTAATATTGCTTCTGACAACTTACTTTGAGTTATGATAGCTCATTGTTAAAATCAATCAAGCATTATACATCGGACTTGAAATGAAGATCAAAATAAGAGTTAAGCATCAAGTCAAATCATTCGAGACGAAAGCTTAAAAGATAAATGCTAAGAAAGATAAGATCAAGAGAATGAAAGACGACATCAAAGAAAGATCAAGACAAGAAGTTCAAGAACCAAACAAGAAAGAAACTTCGAAGTAAGATCAAAAACTATGCTTTCTAAATCATATATAAAGATATAACACTTTGATCTTTAGAAATAAATGACAATAGCTCAAAAATCATTTTGCGCACTAAAAGTTATTTTCATCATCACTTGCATAAAATATTTTAATTAAAAATAAAATTGATTTTTGAAAGTTGCACTTGAACATCGATCACAATTCTAAAAATAAAAAATAAATCAGTGGTCAAAGTCAACAGTCAACCGAATATCCAGTTCGCCAATGGTCAAATTTTTAAACCGTTGCACAACAACTAGTTTGATCGTCTGGTTGGGCATAACTTTTCCGTTTTGATTGCTATAAATACCACTTCACTTTCATTCATCACAACAACCAAGAAGAGAACTTCCTAGTGAAGTATATTTGTGAAAAATCTTCTATGAGCTTACATTTTTATTTTCATTTCATTTATTTCTTCGTGGCAAAAACTTTGATTGTTGAATCAAAATTCTAGAATCAATTTCTTTCATCAAAGTTTTTCATCTCTCTTTGTTCTTAAATTATTTATATCAATCTTAAGAGAGAGAGAGATATTTTTGAAGCACTTATATTGTATAATCATTTCTACTTGTTCATATTAAAAATTTTGATTGATTGAAACAAATTTGTACAATCATCATATTCATCAAAGTTTCTTATTTCTCTTAGTACTTAGCTTATTACAATTATTCATTTAAATAGAAATGTTTGTTGAGAAGATTTTTTGAATTTACATTGCATTTATTTCTTCATAATCTTCTCATTGAAATACTATGATTGATTGAATCTAACTTTTAATTATCATATTCATCAAAATTTTCCATCTAACACTTAAGCTATCATTTACTACTATCATTGAAGTATTAGCCTCTCTTAGTACTTAATTTGTTTTGTATTATTTATCAAGAGAGAATTTTATTGTAAAATCATTTGGGTAAAGTGTTGGTCATATTGAGGTCTCGTAAAGCTAAAAAGCTCAATAGTATGGATCGTGTTAAGGTTATAAGGATTTGTGCTCATTGTTTGTAAGTTATCGAAAGCATTGTAAAGGATTGGATTGCACTATAAGTCAATCAATATAGTGACAAAGCCTTACTCTTGCAAGAGAGCTTGATAATGGAGAACATAGATTATTGTCTTAGATCGAACCTCCACAATTATATCATTGGCATCCTTACTCTCTCTTTTATTTACCGCTTTCATATTATACTCATTACTTGTTCTTATTTGACTTTATACTTGTGTGCATTTGTGCATATTTGTCTAATTGTTTCATTTGCTATCACATTGGTTTAAATCTAGAATTAAATTTCAAAAAAATCTTGAATACCAATTTACCCCCTCTTGGTTAACTATTCTTGGGCTTTCATATTGATTGGTATGAATATTATGTACGAATGCAAAATAATTCGTAAAAATTAAGAACGTGTTAATGAAATTAATAAATCCCAAAAATAATTATAAAAACAAAATGCTCCATGGTTTCAAATTTATTTATAAATTAACTTTCAAAAAGAATTTCTTATATAGATTAAAAATAAAGGAGATTTTCAAGTGGTTTCAAACTTTAAAAATTGATCAAATTCAACAAAAAATAATCAGATTCAACTTGAAATGGGCCCAAGCCTAATCGACCAATCAAATCCAAACCAACCCAAGCTTAATCAATTTGGGTTGGGTTTAAACTAATAACTGTGTTGGGTTGGTTTGATTTTAGGTCAAACCGACCGTGTTGGATTGTGTTTGGATTTGATAAAAACCCAACCCAACCGGGGCTCAAACAAGGGCTAAGGATCACTTTGGAACTGTGGAGGAATGGACTCTGAAAAAAGGATATATCGTATGTTTCAGGTCTTGGATCTGGTTATTCCAATTCTCTAATGAGTTTAATTAATGAACTCTTTGAGTTTCCTGTGGTGACAACAAAAATATCTTATTGCCTCGAGAAACTCCAATCAAATTCACTATGAGGGGATACATACGGAGTCTTCGAATAACGGTTGCCATATTTTTTTTCCTGCCTATGATAGGTAAGAGGCCTTCCGAATTCAACCACAAAGATCACTGCTCAATCACAGCTAGAGCATAATGGGTAAAACATATCAGGGAAGAAGAAAGACTCTGCACATTACATGAAGGATGAGTAGTACTAAAGATTAGCTCTGTCTCCAACCTACAGACTGAAGAGCTGATAATCATTACTCATTCTCTCACCTTTCATGCAATGAGTGCATATTTGCTAGTGGTTGCCAAGGACTACCAATAAAAACTAGTAATCTTTAAAATTATTAGGTCAAAACAAAGTAGTTCAGTGAAGGAGAACTAGTTCAGAGGAAGGTATCGGGGGGAAACAAGAAGTTTGATATGGAAGTTTAAATCAAATTGGGAAGGCTACCTTAGGATCCTAGTAACTAAGGGACAGACGGGGCAAACTGCTCATTAGGAGACGGAATTTTGTTTGCCATAAGTTCAATACATAACCTCTTTCCGTTGTGCTGAAGTTTTGGCTTCGTTCGATGGATTGATCTGCACGTGAGGAGGAGTGGTAACAATATATAAGTGTGTGTGTCCCATATCTTATGGTTTAAAATTTTTAAATTCCTTATTTTTCTATGCGGATAAGATGGCATCCTGAAGAGTTAGTTATGTAATCAGCATGCAAAGCTCAGGTATCGTGGCCCTCCAAGTCAAGGGCACTTGATCCTGACGATAAATCGGCTATCCAAGATTCAGCATGCAAAAACAGCCCTAAAAATATCTACAAAATGAAGAATGATTTTCCATTCAAATTTACCTTATAAACAGGGCTGAAACCACCCTCACCCAGTTTGTTTTCTGATGAAAAGCTATTTGTAGTGGCCAGGATAGATGAATATGTAAATAGTCTGAGATCACGTCCCTTTCTTCCGTCGTTGTCCAGTTCATCTGTGTCTGTATATTCCTCTAGGGTTATCATTTTTTTAAGTTCTTCCTCCAATTTCCCTATAAGACAAGATGATCACCAAAATATCAATGTAACAATGGCAATGAATATAGTTTAAACATGGAAAATCCAAGAGTTATCGAAAATATACCTTGTTTAATTTTACGCATGATGAACCATGAATTGCCCAACAATAGCAGAACTACTGTAGTCACCAAAGCAATGTTTATCCAAATCATCTTCTTCTTTCCTGTCATTCATCATTTGCTTATATTGAATCAGATTGATTATTTTCTTTTCTTGGATATTAACTAGAGGAATTTTACAAATAGGTGCAACAATACAGTATGACCTGCATCACCATTCATAATCCAGTTCATAGCAATCAGTATTATTTGACCTCTAGCTTCGATGTATGAAAGGAATCAGGATAGAACTACTCATAGGGAAGAAAATTCATTTATGGATGGAATTAATTATTGGGTAAAAATCAATATAGTTCTAATGTCAAATCAGCATATCAACTAGGACAGAAGTAAAGCATTGGGTCTAACTTTTCTTTGGTGTCAAGGTAAAAGCTATAAATAGTCATTGACTTCTGGAAAAGGGTAGAAGATTGGGACCTATTATCCGACATACAATGCATTATAGATATATGATCATTACACTCCAACCGCGTTATTCTATTCCTCCTCTTGGGAAGGAAAAGAACTTATAATTCGACCATCAAATTTCTTTGTATGTCTCAAATATGATATTGCAAAGGAAATGGGATTTTACATATAAATGAATTTATATCAAATGGCTTTATATAATTCAAATCAAATGCCAGTGTTAGGATCTTCCTCTAGCTGCTCAAGATGATTTCCGGGCTCAGTTAACCTTTAAAACACTGAATCAACATCAAAACCGAAGGTACCCGACCGCCGCCGCCGAGTTCTACCTATGGTTGCCTTTCTTCCTTTTGCCTGTTGTTTGCTCACTCACAAAGGATGAATACCACACAGGTAAGGGTCACAAAGACACAAGCAAGAGGTAGAGAAGATCAATCAGTAGGATGCACGAAGAAGAAGAAGAAGACTGCCTCTCTCTCTCGGGTTTTTCACACAAAAACGGGACATGAGAATTACCAATATATATAGTAAACCAATGACAAACTAAGGTAAGTTATACATATGGTAAGTAGGCTCGACTAGGGTTATGGCCCAATAGCACACCAACAAGCCACAAAGGTTTATTAGCCATCTAATAGGTAAAACAACGTTAAGTCGGGTCATCCCATTATTCGATGTTGATTTATCGTTCAGTCATTCATGTCGACTAATAAAACTGGTTTACATCATTGCCCGGGAGGTCGTTTGACAACATGATGTCTAACAACCTCCACCTTGGTGTCAAAGGACCTGCAAAGAGAAAACGTTTTCCATTAGTGACACCTCTAACAGAAAATCGATAAAATTGGAAATCATTTACCTGTACCGATGTTTAGAAGCTCCTTGCAACTTTTTAACTTTACCGGTGGCAGTACTTTCGTGCCTATATCCGAAGGATTATATTGTGTGTGAATTTTTTTAAGTCTTACTACTTCTTTTGATATTATATCCCTAATGAAGTGTAGCCTAACGTCAATATGTTTAGTGTGTTTGTGAAAAACAGAATTCTTACACAGATGTATGGATGATTAACTATCAGAATACACAACCACATACTCATTCAAGACACTTAGTTCATGAAATAAACCTCTAAGCCATAGAGCCTCTTTAATTGCTTCAGTGGTGGTAATATATTCTGACTCTGTAGGATAGTGCAACTATGTGTTGTAACTGTGATTTCCAACTAACACACGAATTTGATAAGGTGAATACGTAAGAGGAAGTTGATTTCCTACCATCCCTAGTCAGCATCTACAAAACCCTTTAATTTCACGCCTTCCTTATTAGCACTAAATTTTAGACCTACGTCACTTGTATCCTTCAAATATCTTAAAAGCCACTTTAATGCTTCCCAATGTTCAGGACCTGGATTAGACATGTACCTACTGAAAGTACTAACAGCAAATCCTAAGTCCGATCTAGTGCAAACCATCAAATACATTATGGAACCAATCACATTTGAGTATGGAATTTTACTCATGTATTCCACTTCACGTTCATTGCAGGGAGCTTGTTCTTTAGATAGAACAAAATGGTTCGCAAGAGGCAACGTGATAGGTTTGCAGTCACTCATATTAAACATTTTCAACACCTTTGATATGTATGGAGACTGATGCAAGAATACGATGGAATTTGACCTATTTCGTTCTATTTCCATGCCTAGAATCCTTTTAGCCTTTTCTAGGTCTTTCATGTCAAATTCTCCACTAAAGTCTGCTTTTATATTGTTTATTCACTTAGGAGATGATCCAACTAAAAGCATGTCGTCCACATAGAGCAACAAGAACAAATAATTGTTATCAGTCTCGTTGTGTTGAAAGTATAGGCAGTGATCGAATTTACTTCTTTGAAATCCTATAGTGAGTACAAAGGAATCAAACCTCTTGTACCACTGTCTAGGTGATTGCTTTAGACCGTATAGGGATCTCTTCAGAAAACACACATAATCAAGTTTTAACTTGTCTTTAAAACCTTTTGGTTGATTCATAAAGATTTGTTCATCAAGCTCTCCATGTAAAAAAGCGATTTTTACATCGAGTTGTTCAAGTTCCCAGTCAAAGAGCGCAACCAATGGGAGCATGACCCTAATAGTAGTGTACTTGACAACTGGTGAGAAAATCTCGTTATAATCAACACCTTCTTTCTGTGTGTAACCCTTCGCTACTAACCTAGCCTTAAATCTTAAGGGTTCTGTACTACCAGTACCTTCCTTAACCTTAAAGACCCACTTGCAATTAACGATTGATCTATTTTTAGGTCTCGGTACTAACTCCCAAGTTTGATTCTTTTCTAGAGAACTCATCTCTTCTTTCATAGCCTTAAGCCACTCCTTAGATTGACCAATATTCATAGCCTCTTCAAAAGTTTCCGGCTCCCTATCAACTAGTTTTTCGTAACTAGCGTATGCAAAATCCAATTCAGATTCAAACCCAAACCTCCTAGGTTCTCTCGTTTGTCTTCTCTCTCTATCCCTAACTAAATTATAGTTAGTTAATGGATTTTCTTCCTCAGGATGTTCTTCTATCACTACTTCATTTTCCTCTTCAGGTTCTTGGACCTGAATCTCCACCTCACTCGAAGTACTAGGTACTGATGTGTTAAATTTTCCTAACTCCACCTTAAACTGATTTCTTTCTTCACCTGATTCAGTTTCACTTACAGGTTCGGTTTCGTTCCTTAGACAAGGCATCTCACTCTCATCAAATGTGACATCCCTACTCACGATGATCTTAACTCCTTTTTGGCTTCTATCCCATAACCTACAGCCCTTAACCCCTTTGGGATATCCTAGAAAGACACACTTCCTGGCTCTAGGTTCTAAATTTCCCTCACTTTGATGAGAGAAGGCAGCACAGCCGAACGCTTTAAGCATTGAGTAGTCACCCAATTTTCCAGACCATTTCTCATGTGGAGTATCACCATTTAATGCAGTCGATGGAGTCAAATTTATCAGATAACAGGCAGTTACAACGGCTTCAACCCAAAATGACTTAGGAACCCTAGAACTTAACATCATGCGGCGCACTTTATCTAGTATGGTCCTATTCATTCATTCTGCTACCCCGTTTTGCTGGGGAGTATAGGGAACCGTTTTGTGTCTTGTTATTCCACTTTCTTTACACATCCTATCGAATTCAGCATTACAGAATTCTAGGCCGTTATCTGTCTTTAAAAATTTGATCATCTTGCTAGTTTGATTTTCCATTTGTTTCTTCCAATTGTTAAAGTTATGGAAGGTTTCAGTTTTGTCTTTCAATAGATAGACCCACACTTTCCTGGTGTAGTCATCTATGATAGATAGGAAATACCTATTCCCACCCGATGTGGGATTACTAGCAGGACTCCACAGATCAGAATGCACATATTCAAACATGCTTTTAGCCTTATGCGTACTAGTGGAGAACGACACTCTATGGTGCTTTCCGAGTACACAGTGATCACAGAACGATAGGTCAGACACACAGTCATTACCAAATGCACCTTTTTCATTAAGTAGCTTAAGTCCCTTAATGCCTACGTGTGCAAGCCTACTATGCCACGTATGTGTGTGATCGATTTTGGCAGAAGAAATAGAGGAGTTTAATCCTCTAATTACTTCCCCAGTAGTGATGTAAATATCGTTTTTCTTGATTCCCTTAATAGAGATTAACGCACCCTTCATCATTTTAAACATACCGTTTCCAATTTTACCAATGAAGTTGTCTTTCTCAAATCTTCCTACTGAAATCAAATTCCTAGATAATTCAGGAATGTATCTAACTTCCTTTAACATGTACACAAAGTTCGTGTTAAATTTTATCTTTATATTTTCAATTCCAGCAATTGTATAAGCAAAGTTATCACACAGAACTACTTGCCCATCATTAGATTCTTGTAAGTTTTCAAACCAGTTCTTTTCAGACGTCACATGAAAAGACGCACCAGAATCTAATATCTATTCATGCATGTGAGAATTAGTAGTTAGATTCAATTCAGTAGTGTATGTGACTGGACTAGTGATCACATAGACTTCACCGTTTTCGGTATCGGAGGTAGAGGATAACACATTTACCTCATCTCTTTCCTTAACCTTTTGTTTTCCCCTTCTTTATGGCAGTCTTTTATAAAATGCTTTGTGCCTCCACAGCCATAGCATTTTCTAGCCTTAGTTCTAGACTTTGACCTAAGTCTACCGTTGCCCTTCTTTTTCCAACTATTACTACTTGATTCGCCACTACTTTGGTATCCTTCATGACTGGCTTGCCTAAATTGAGTTCCACCCCGCATCATATGCAACTCTCCACTCCTCCTATCCTGTTTTTCAGCCCTCATTTTCATCTCTTTACTCCTAAGAGAATCTACGACAATTTCAGGTGTTAACGTGTCCCTACCATACTTAATGGCATTCTTAACTTCTTTATAAGAGTCCGGGATTGAATTGAGCAAGATAATAGCCTTATAGGTCTCATACACGGTTTCGTCACAATTGACAATATCTTGCACCAATTTGTTAAATACATATAAATTGTCGTCGAGATCCTTTGAAGGATCCACCTTAAACCTGAAGAATCGTTCGAGTAGGTAGAGTTTATTCGGTGTAGATTTAAGCAAGTATAAGTCTTCTAGTCTTTTCCAAAGTTCTTTGGTGATTTTTTTTGTTTTCCCACTTTTCTTAAGACAACGTCAGACAAGTGTAATATTATTGAGGTATTGGCAAGCTCATCGGCTTCCTCTTTTTGTTCTTTTTAGACATCAGGTGCAAAATTGTCTTCGATGGCTTTTGACACCTTTTGTTGGACTAATATACCTCTCATCTTTTGTTGTCAGATAGAGAAATCCCCTTTACCGTTAAATATTCCCAAATCAAAATTATGTGTTGTCATTGGTTAACACACTAATTAGGCCACACGAAGTAGTATTGGGAAGCGTGATAAGGTAATATCTTGTTAATTCTTAGCAAAAGTAACAATGAACCAAAACGCTACGTCCACCAAGAAATACCAAGCACTAAATCAAAAGAACAAACACTCAATTAACGCAAGTAATCCTAATTCTAGCACAAGCAATGGTTACCCCTTCACGATAACCCCAAAACCTAACGATCACCCCACACGATGATCTTGCTATTGATGAATTTAAATGGATTAAGCCAATTTACCAGAGCGGACCTATCTGAGTCCGTAGAGTGGAGAAAAACGAGCTTGCTGTTCAATTGCAGTCGGCGTCGCACCAGGGGCAAAATCGTCCAACTTTTTCTGTGTAACCTGAAACACAAAACAAAGTATATCAGCGCGTTCAGGAGATCGAAACAAGCAAGTTACCTGAAGATAGCTTCGCCGAAAAGCCGCCCACGCGCCGCCTCACCAGGGGCGCCTCGACCTGCTGGTAATGGGTATGGCTTCCGTTTGTCCAACCGAGCTTTGGTTTGTGAGTAATTGAAGAATTTCAGATTGGGGTACAATGTTGAAATCGCGAAAATCAACCAATTTTGAGCCGATTTTTGCCAACCAAGCTCTGATACCAGATGTTAGGATCTTCTTCTAGCTGCTCAAGATGATTTCCGGGCTCAGTTAACCTTTAAAACACCGAATCAACACCAAAATCAAAGGTACCCGACAGCCGTCGCCGAGTTCTACCTATGGTTGGTTTTCTTCCTTTTCCTTGTTGTTTGCTCACTCACAAAGGATGAATACCATACAGGTAAGGGTCACAAAGATACAAGCTAGAGGTAGAGAAGATCAATCAGTAGGATGCACGAAGAAGAAGAAGAAGAAGACTGCCTCTCTCTCTCTCGGGTTTTTCACACAAAAACGGGACATGAGAATTATCAATATATATAGTAAACCAATGACAAACTAAGATAAGTTATACATATGGTAAGTAGGCTCGACCAGGGTTATGGCCCAATAGCACACCAACAAGCCACAAAGGTTTATTAGCCATCCAATAGGTAAAACAACGTTAAGTCGAGTCATCCCATTATTCGGTGTTGATTTATCGTTCAGTCATTCATGTCGACTGATAAAACTGGTTTACATCATCGCCCGAGAGGTCGTTTGACAACATGATGTCTAACAGCCAGATATGTGGATTTTGATATAGTATTTCCTTGGCTATCAGTTAAAAAAGGGATGATGCTAGTTTTTTAGGAAAGGTGGAATAAAATTTATGAACTTACCTTTCTTTGCTGGCTCAGAGATGAGAATATGTATTCTACCTTCCGAACCATCAAGACTCTGTTCAAATGCCAAATCTTTCCCTTTCCAATATACACATCCAGATTCACTACCTGCTGTATAGCCTACACATTCGCAGTCATTCCAGCAGTTACCTCTGCAGTCACTCTCAGTAAGGCTTGAACTGTTATCATAAATGGAATATGAATCGCTTATTGACCTAAAATGCCCAGACCTCCGAGCAAACGTCTCTTTGTGATTCCTGCACTTAGGCTGTTCCCATAATTCGTAGCCTTCTCGGGTGTTATAACCATAACAACGTCGCACATTTGCAATTACCATTCTTCTATGATCGAATATAAACCCTTCAGAGTCTAGCTTCCATCCAGAAATTTTTAGTTCATCGGGGGTGAGAACCGGGTCTATTTCAAGGAAGTAGCTCATATAATTCTCACCACCATTTGTGACATTGACAAAATTGTAAATAAAATTATATGGATCATATCCACCGCCTATATTCTTAAATTTCTTGAGTTTCAACTCTGGCCTGTCCTCATCAATATAATCCTTCAATTCTCCACTGGTCCAATTAGCCACTCCTCGCTGCCTTATGATCAGTGGGATAATCAAAGCTTTGCTACAAAACCCTATTCCCAGAACCAGTTCTATTCATCTCTTTCACTACGAAATTGCCCGAATTCAACAGAGTGGCTGTTATATTCATTCAATTTTCATTTCGGTACAGCTCAATAGGATCTCGTCCACTGTTGTTGATAATAAGTTTCTTGATTCTGCTTATTGTGAGAACACCAGAATTATCAGCAATAAGTTTGTCTCTGTTGCCAAGCCATACTGGACCATATGAATCATCCGTGAACCATGCTCCTAAATAACTGTTATTGGTATTTTCGAGGCTATAATACCCTAAAGTGAAAACTTCGTAGGTAGAAACCTGATATGCAGAAGAATTTAGCCTATCCCCTGTTTGAGGGTGTCAACTGATGAAACATGTGAGACAGAATAATAGAATATCAAAAGAAATATTGTTACGGTTATGATTACCGCTCTCTGCATTTGCATGATAAGCAATTATTCAAGCCTTGCTACAGGAATGTAAATATGGAGTTGTGATTTGAGTTTAATTTGCAGAAAGCATGAAAGAAAAATTCAGTTTTTGTTTGCCCCATTCGCATCCATTTTTTCAAACATTTTTTCAGCAGAAAGTGGGCCCCAGGTTGGAGCAGGGACACGTTTAGTCTGACATGAACGGAGGCTATTGTGCAGATAGGCTATTGTGCAGATAGCCGTTTACTGACATTTTCAAGTTCGTAAATTTCCGTTTATGCCCTTATTTGTGTACATTTCCAGCAGGATACGAGGGTAAAACAGTCCACCAAGTCTCAATCGCTTATTGACCTAAAATGCCCAGACCTCCGAGCAAACGTCTCTTTGTGATTCCTGCACTTAGGCTGTTCCCATAATTCGTAGCCTTCTCGGGTGTTATAACCATAACAACGTCGCACATTTGCAATTACCATTCTTCTATGATCGAATATAAACCCTTCAGAGTCTAGCTTCCATCCAGAAATTTTTAGTTCATCGGGGGTGAGAACCGGGTCTATTTCAAGGAAGTAGCTCATATAATTCTCACCACCATTTGTGACATTGACAAAATTGTAAATAAAATTATATGGATCATATCCACCGCCTATATTCTTAAATTTCTTGAGTTTCAACTCTGGCCTGTCCTCATCAATATAATCCTTCAATTCTCCACTGGTCCAATTAGCCACTCCTCGCTGCCTTATGATCAGTGGGATAATCAAAGCTTTGCTACAAAACCCTATTCCCAGAACCAGTTCTATTCATCTCTTTCACTACGAAATTGCCCGAATTCAACAGAGTGGCTGTTATATTCATTCAATTTTCATTTCGGTACAGCTCAATAGGATCTCGTCCACTGTTGTTGATAATAAGTTTCTTGATTCTGCTTATTGTGAGAACACCAGAATTATCAGCAATAAGTTTGTCTCTGTTGCCAAGCCATACTGGACCATATGAATCATCCGTGAACCATGCTCCTAAATAACTGTTATTGGTATTTTCGAGGCTATAATACCCTAAAGTGAAAACTTCGTAGGTAGAAACCTGATATGCAGAAGAATTTAGCCTATCCCCTGTTTGAGGGTGTCAACTGATGAAACATGTGAGACAGAATAATAGAATATCAAAAGAAATATTGTTACGGTTATGATTACCGCTCTCTGCATTTGCATGATAAGCAATTATTCAAGCCTTGCTACAGGAATGTAAATATGGAGTTGGGATTTGAGTTTCATTTGCAGAAAGCATGAAAGAAAAATTCAGTTTTTGTTTGCCCCATTCGCATCCATTTTTTTCAAACATTTTTTCAGCAGAAAGTGGGCCCCAGGTTGGAGCAGGGACACGTTTAGTCTGACATGAAATGAGGCTATTGTGCAGATAGCTGTTTACTGACATTTTCAAGTTCATAAATTTCCATTTATGCCCTTATTTGTGCACATTTCCGGCAAGATACGAGGGTAAAACAGTCCACCAAGTCTCAACAGTTAGATCCTCCTAATATTTATTTTGACCCTAGTATGACTTTATTGTGATGTATTGGCAGACATCTACTCTAGGAGAATGAGATATGGTAAAAAAAAAAAAATCTCATTAAAATGAGTACCAAATAGGACTCGAATTTCAATATTGATTTTTTCTTCTTTCTTTTGTGGTGAGAATAATTTTACTAGTTAAATACGGAAGTCTTAAGCCCCTCGGACCACATACCCACCTGGACAACCGGGGGTTGTCACACAAGCACATCCCAATATGGAAAGCTTTCCAACAGTGCATGACATTCTAATCCTAAAAACATTGGCTTTTCAAATTTCTTGACCAAATGATAAAACTTTCAAAAATCAAGCAGCAAGATATCAAGAAAAATATCAACGGAAGTTTATCGTATTTTAAAATATCCAATAATGGATATATTAAATAAGAGTTTATACACTTCATGGCATATCAATACCGAACAAGATTATGCAAGGATCAAATTTTCAATGTGGTTATTTTTTGTTTGATTTAGAGAAAGAGATATCAACACAATGCAGTTTTATTATTTATTCATCGATCAAATACGAACAATTACAAGTTACAAAGCATAATCAATTGTAAAATGAGAATAAAAAAAATTAAAACAAAAACAAAAATAAATAAATAAAAACTTAAAACATAAATTGTTAGGCCTTTGTCACGTGGTTGCCAATTAATCAAGATGCCATGCTAGCACCTTCTCCTCCGAGGCGAATGTAAATGAGCATGTCCCCTCCTCTATCTTCTTGGCCAAGGCAATGATGTCATATTCTATCATCTAGTCCACCTCATTTCCGAGGCGTTGAGAGCACCTCAATACCTCATTGAAGTTCTCTCTAACATAGCTTTGAGCAAACATGTCACCTCGATGCAATGTCCTAAAAAGTGTAAAACGTGGCTAGGTGTGATATCGAAACTTCAAGCTTCACGAGCTTAAGCGAGCCTAAACGAGGTTTACGGGTAAATTTTTTTTCTTATTTATAATATTATTTTAAACTTTTAATCATTTTAAAAACTATTTAATAATTAAAATAATACATATTAAATATCTAAAACTATATATTACAATATTTACTTAATAACTACTACCACTAGTCAATTATGCAATTTTCAAGTTTTTGAAATGTAAAAATTAGAATATCTTTCTTAGTTGCAATTTTCAACTAGATAAGTCCTACTTAATAGATTTATAGAAACTTCATATATGCTTTTAGAGTTTGTAATAAAATGAGTTTCAAGATCATAATTACATAACGTAGATAAAACCATAACTTAAATCTTATTTAACTATTAAGATAAAGTCATTTTTAACTTTTGTACAGATAATTTTACTTTTTTATTTTTATTTTCTAGCTTCTGCAGTCTTTTAGGTTTAATGAAAAGCCTAAATGGTACATCAACTTTCAACAGTGTTTTTTGTAGTTATACAAATTTATAATTTTCTCTAATACATACTGATACACTTATTCTATACACTTATTCGATGCCCTAAAGTAGCAATATTTGATAGTTCTTTTAT